GCTTGTTGTTCCTGTGCCCCACAAGGTCCACCTGGGTGGTAACGGTATAAAAGACCAAGCTGTTCAATAAACCCTCAGATCTGCTGTTCCTGTTTGACCCTCAACACGTAGTCCTGTCTTGTGATTGGAGGGGAACTGCTATAATCACACTGGGTATTGCTATACTTTGTATACTCCTGTGGGCTCTAATCACTTGGTTCTTCTAAGAGCTGTTCCTGTGATGCTCTCCTGGAGGAGAGGTCTCTCTCACACGGTGCTGGATGTCAGAGGTAGATCCAGAGTGGAAGGAAGACAGCGGGATTCCAGTTAAGCTACGGCGGTTGTGGAGTCTTCGGTGGTTGTGGTGTCCAGTGTGGTGCTTGTGGTCCTCGGCGTCAGCTAGGAAGCATCCGTTAACCCCAGTCGGGGTGCCAGGGGATCCCTTACAGTTTCATTTTATTACACATTATATTTTGCCTTACACTTTATTGCACAGTATTATGTCTTATTACATGTTGTTACATTTTATTACACAGTATTACGCCTTATTACACGTTGTTACACTTTATTGCACAGTATTATGCGTTATTACATGTTAGTATTTATAGAAACATAGAAACATAGAATGTGACGGCAGATAAGAACCATTCGGCCCATCTAGTCTGCCCAATTTTCTAAATACTTTCATTAGTCCCTAGTCTTATCTTATAGTTAGGATAGCCTTATGCCTATCCCACGCATGCTTAAACTCCTTTACTGTGTTAACCTCTACCACTTCAGCTGGAAGGCTATTCATGCATCCACTACCCTCTCAGTAAAGTAATACTTCCTGATATTATTTTTAAACCTTTGTCCCTCTAATTTAAGACTATGTCTTCTTGTTGTGGTAGTTTTTCTTCTTTTAAATATAGTCTCCTCCTTTATACACACAGTATAACTAATTAAAAAGAGAGCGCATGCATAACAAATAAAGAACCTTCGTAATAATTTACATGTGGTCCAGATCAAACAATAGGAATAAAACCTAATATACTCAAACAATGATAGCTGCTAAAATAAAAAGAAATTTCCCATTTCATAAGACAAATGTGCATATAAATTTTTCAGCGCTTAGTAGATAGTCCCCTTAAGATTAAAAAGGTGCATATATATGCAACAAATGAAAAAGTCTAGCACAAAAAGTATCCAAAAAGTATAGTTCAGTTACAGAGTCCTGCAATCCAGATAACGTTGTAATATACAGGAGCTCAGAAGCATGTAGTGATACCTTAGAAAAAAAGAAACAAAGAGATATACATAGCGTGATACTGTATCAAAAGTTTAATTTCCCAGGAAGTATAAACAAAAAAGAGAGAAAACCCCCCAACTATAAAAACTCGTACCCTGTATAAAATAAAATGCTCATCGTGATGGATCAAGCAGAAGAAAATCCTTTGCGTCCCTTCGTGTTTCTATTAAGGATAGCCCCTCTCTCGGTGCACTCGGGAGGGCTGTCTGTAATGTTCTCGATGGGAAAACGCTGGCTGGAGGTCCGACTTCTGTCAAGCGTTAGTGAAGTATGTGAACTCGAAAATCTTCTGCATAAATGATGATAGCACCCTATAGGAAAATCTTCTGCATAAATGATGATAGCACCCTATAGGAAAATCTTCTGCATAAATGATGATAGCACCCTATAGGAAAATCTTCTGCATAAATGATGATAGCACCCTATAGGAAAATCTTCTGCATAAATGATGATAGCACCCTATAGGCTATCATCATTTATGCAGAAGATTTTCCTATAGG